CAACACATACTGACCACACGGGAGGGGAGAAGAGTTGAGGGGGAAGGGGCACGGGAACATATTAGGCAGACAATCGAAGAGGCTTTCTCCCAGCTTGAGCGAAGGGGGACAGTGGATAGCACTGACATGACAGCAGCAGTGTAGAAAAGGAGAAGTGTGCAACAATGAAGACGATCACAAAAGAATGGGATAAGGCAGAAAGTAAGATTCCAGCAGGTACAGTGACAGGCCCAGACGACATACCTATGGAACTCATTAAAACACTAGAAAAAACAGGCAAACTAAAGTTATGGCATATGATTGATCAAATAATTATAAGAGGAGAGGTACCCAATGATTGCAAACTAAGTCAAATGAGACTATTATATGGAAACAAAGACAACATTAAGGCATACTGCCCACTAACGGTAACTTCCGTTATATACAAATTAGCTATGCAGATAGTAAAGTGGAGAATGGAGGAACGGGCAGAAGACATGCAAATACTGGGTGAGCCCCAAAATGAATTCCGAAGAGATAGAAGACTGGAAGGTAACTTATTCGTCGCCACACAATGTATAGAAATAGCAATGAAGAACCAAACTCCTTTATGGCTAGCTTTTTTGGACATCAACGAAGCATACTATAATGTGAGCTACGAAAAACTCTGGGGTCAGCTGAAGGAGTATAGTGAAACCCGTTTAGAACAAACCCACGTACAGCGAATTATTGTCGATATCGAACTCACGGAAAATTTGAATAAAAATGCATGTAAAAAGTATGTTTTATAACGAACAACACATTGGCTAAATCAAACTTTTTCTCCCTGGGAAGGCTTTCAAAAACGCGAAAACAATCGACTTCTAGCCTGTCCCGTCCCCCAAAAAAGAGGTAGGAAAGAAAGAAAATTCCAAAAGCTTTGTGTGGCGAACAAAACTGAGCGAAGAGAAACGACTTAGAAGGAAAGGAAGCTAAAAAATACTCTGCACGCACGTACAGAAAAAAAAAAATTCATCCCAAGTGGTTGCCCACGAAGAGAAACAATTCAGAAAAGGGGATAAGCTAAAAAAAAAAAAAAAAAACTGCGCAGGCATGCAAAAAAAAAAAAAAAAACTTTTTAGCGCGTTTTTACAAGGCGGAAGTTAAAAGATGAGAAAGAAAGAAAAGCTCCCGCTTTACAATGAACTCATCGCGGAAGTTCGTGGTAAATGCTTTTTTGCTACATAACTGATTGTAGCTTTTCCTGCTGTTCGTTATAAACGTGTTTGACTGTATAACTGAGATGCAAATTTGGTTGGGTTTCTTCAGCAGGTGTACTGAGGCAATAATGTAATTATAACATAGGAACCAGAAACTACACAACCCGCAGCAATAAAAAGAGTGCTTAGGAAGGGGTTTCCACTGTCCATCTCTGCTCTTCATGATATATCTCTGTGAAATGGAAAAGAAATACTGCCCGTTTTCACCCCAAGAACCATAGTAAAAAGTCAGACTCTTCGCGGAGCATTACTAATTTCCTTGTTTAAGAGAGAATTAAGATACATGGTGGTACATTTTAGATTAGATATATGTTGTCTCATAAAGATGTACGTTTCAAATGCAAAAAAGCGTTGCTTCCTCCTCCGACAACCACCTATTGTAAGAACTACTTCGCGCGGCGTATGAACAATGAGCAAATCTTGCTTTTTTTTCTTGAGTTGAAAACGAGTATAAAGCAGACCAACCAATGTTTTGATGCGAGTTTTATGGAAGGAGGGAGGAATGTAGTACAGATGATACTAGCACTGATGTACGTGGATGACATAGTACTTATGGCAGGATACATTACAGGAACTAGTTGGAATATGCGGAAAGGAAGGGGACACCATGGGCATGGGTTTTAGCAGCGATAAGTCTGGAGTTATTGTGTTTAACGACGAAAAGAGGGAACCCCCGAGGATACAAGACATTGTAACAGACCATGTAGGAAAATACAAATATCTGGGAGTCTGAAAGCCATTTTGTGACCTCAACACCAATTCAATTCCCCACTAAATTTAGAGGGGAATTAAATTGGTGCTGATGTCACGTGACATCAATTTTCACACCAAATTTAGTGTGGTTACCGGACGCTGCGAAACAGGCACCTGAGAGCTGTGCTCTCAGGCATCTGTTTCGAAAACGAAAAGTTTAACCAATCAAAGTCAGGAAGGAGAGTCAAAATATATATATGCACTAAATAGTGATAGTGATAGTGATTTATTTCAAATCAGGAAAGCCGGGGCACCGTAAACAAGGCAAGTCGCCCATACCGTGAAAGCCCACGGCTCCGCATCCAACGATGGTGAGATGCTATTGCAGAGATGAATTTTTAAAAGAAATGGTGATAATGGTTTAAATGGAGCTTGTGGACAGTGAGCGATTGATATTGAAGTTGAAGAAGGTGATGAGTGTAAGGCTTGCAGCGGTGGTCTTCGTGGAACCGCCATTCGCTGCTGACTTCTAGTAGGCCGATCTCGAGCGCCTGGCGAGGGCTCTCTTCATCCACGGCTTGCAGACGAGCCGCCGGAATTTTCAGTGACACAGGGAGTCTAGCACACCGATGGCGGGGCTCCAGGGGCTGGCGCCAGTGTTGGCCGGGCGGCACCTTTGCGAAAGCAGGCTCCGAAGTCTCCCAGCTTGTTGTCAAGCTTGTGAGTAGTGTGACCACCCTCTTGATCGAAGACATGGTGTGTGCCACTGGACCGGCTGGTTCTCCGATGATGGGAAAAACATGTCTTATGCCCAGTTGGCTTCCTTTTCTTCCGATTTGTATTCTCAGGTATCGCTGAGTGAAACAGCGCAAAGACCAAAGCAGCAAATAAAAATTATGAATCAAGAGATCAACTTACTTTTCCGTATTCTGATGATGAGAACAATAAAGACGGAAGCTTCATGCCATGAACTCACACTTGACATTCTGATATGAGGCGAATCCGTTTCCGTTTCTGGTTTGGTTCTAAGCGCCGCATGGAGAGGTCTAGAGAACTGACTCGGCAAAGCTTTTCCTGTTGGGCAGCTGAGTCTTTGGAAAGGCCGGAGCAGAGCGCGGGAAAAATCCGGAGGCCATGCTATCGCCCCAATGGTTCCGAAGTCGCCATAGTGCAGCGCTAGGGGCATAGCCAGGGGGTGGGGCTTATGGGGTTTCAGCCCCCTCCCCCAAAATCTAGCCGACCCTACAATATATACATGCATTTTGACCCCCCCCCCTCCCCCTCTCTGCACCCCAAGTCATAGACATCCCAGCCATCCTAACCACCTCAGCTCCCCCCCCCCCCCCCCCCCCCTCCAAAAACAAAAAGTCCTGGCTACGCCACCGCGCCACTTGTCTTACGAAACTTAAGAGCTGGAGGCTCATGGCGTCAACTACCAGGAAAGGAGAAAAATGCATAGCTTTTGAACAAGATAACGGTTAGTTCCGAAACTTTAGAAACTTGACAAGCGCTTGCATTAGATTTTGGGTGAACACAGAAATTACCAATGCCCCATTATTTTTTCAGTACAAACATCCTTTTTTTTTTGGGGGGGGGGGGGGGGTTGGCACGTTTTATGCGACTGAAACCGTGCTTCTGTCCCTGTTGTTGTCTTCAAAGTTTTGTTTTTTTAATCAGACGTTGCAGCTCCCATGCATCATCAGTGATGCCAAGCTTGAATTCCCGCCAACTTGGCATCACTGGTGTCTCCTGTATGGAAGACGAAAGAATAAATTGTTATATAAAGTCTGTGTAATTTGTTTCGTCATTTATTATTGTTGATATAGATTATTGATATATCAAACTATTTTATGATCCCCTTTGAATTCAAGATATCTGGGTTCGACTGTAAAACTCCCGGTGTCCGCGAAAATGAGAAAAGTTGTCGAACTGTTAGGTCGCAAACCCAACAGTATGCTATTCATACTAATCAAATATCGTTTAGTGGGTCAAAAGGAAGAGGGTGCAAAGTCGAAAGCCTGCTTTTCGGTACGAAAATATAGCAAACTATTTTCTACGTCCTTTCATTCAAAAGCTTTCTGCCTTTTTACTGGGATACATCCGCAAACCCAAAGCAAGTCACTCTAGCCCAGCTCACACGATGGATATGAGCACTCTGTCACTCGAACGTATGCGCTCGTCAACAATTAATCCCTCGGCGAATGTTTGAATTCGCATTTGTGGCCAATGAATGCTGTGGCAGCACTTATCACTTGCGAATGACGAGCTTTATGGTGTGCTTAAGAAGGACAGTGGAAGCTTGGGGTCATCGTACCAATGCTTCAGCACGTCACGACCGCATAATTTTTTATTTTGCTTTTGAGTTAAGGAGAAAAGCTAAGAAAAAAAAAAGTTAATAAATTATTTCATGGCCACTTTAAAAATTTGCATGCCTATCATAACAAATAGCAGTCTAGTGAGGCCTAGGCTCTCTTGGTGTTGCAAAGCAAAAAATTAACCTTAAAAAAAAATGTGAATGCAAATTTCGAAACATTTTCTGAATTGTACCAGAATAAGGACTTCCGCAGAATTTGACGCAAATGATCCAGACATGACATCGCAAAGTACTCCCATTGTCAGCTGGCAAAGATCAAGTGCAAGGAAGGTTGAAACGAAAGCTTGTTGCAGTAACGTTGCTGTTGCCATTGTTTTTGTTGCCAAACAGAATGCTCAGCAACAGTAGCGAGGCAGTAAAACAATGCCTTGTTACTAGGAAAGTTGTTTATTTGCGATTCACTGAATCTATAAAGAAGGAGTAACTGATATCTTTCACTCTACAACCTCAGGAACACAATTCAACCTGGAGCAAAGTGACAGAATTAGGCTAAAGTGTAAGAAAATCTAGAGAACTTGGAAGAAATCACACTCAAAATGTTGTCACAAAAATTGATTTATAGGATTCAAGGTGCCCAATAAACGCCAATGCTCCTCATTCGCTTGAAATAAAGAGTTAATAGCAGCTCTATGTGTCATAAAAAAAAAAATTTATTCAAAAGGTAAAAGCTGCTAAACTCTATTAAATAAGGTCACTCAAAAAAACAAAAAGGTGCTACTTAGCAGTATTGTGGCTATTGCCTATCTGCCACTCATAATGTTCGTAACTGGTGAATATACTCCTGTTCCTCAACTTCAGGTGAATAAACAATGGACAGGCAGTGAAATACACGGTGAAACATGAAATAATTCTTCCATACTTCCAGATATTGCATGACGTAATCCCTCACTCGTGCACATTTTTCTGATGCCTACTTAAATGTTGACTCCGTTTAAACGTTTTCTCACAGGCTTCGCACTTGTAAGGCCGTTCTCCACTGTGGGTTCTCTCATGACGCGACCAGTTATCTCTCTGCGAAAATTCTTTCCCACACGTGCGACACTGGTATGGTTTTTCCCCAGTGTGAATCCTCATGTGAGTTCGTAAGTTACCGATTTGAGCAAACGCTATCTTGCAGACAGAGCAGCGGAAAGGCTTCTCTCCTGTGTGTGTCCTTTCGTGCTGGTTTATATGACCTAGATGATGACTGGAGTAAGAGCAGAACTTGCAGTGGTACGTGCCCTCATATCGTGGCCGCATCGTGGGTTGTGACTCAATTAGTTCGCTTCTTGGGGAAAAGGAGTCACTCTCGTTGTCCCCATCGTCCCGAAAAACTGCTTCGGCCAGCACTGTTGGGGAGATCAGAAAAACAAGGCAAGGAAAGTTAACGACAAAGAAAGTCCAATGCCAACAGGCAAACCTTACGACAAGCTTGGCAAATCTGCACTGTCTTTACAAGAAAGCAGCAAACACAAAACACCTTTTCGTTTCAGAAAAAAAGAAGAAAGACTCGCCAAATATGGACATTTAAAGTATTAAGAAAAGCTGTTGTTACATTAAAGTGATACAAGAATTTAAGTTAATGAAAAATTGATAAGCGCAGCCCATTCTTGCCAAAAAATTTTATATGCAATTTATCTTTCATTGAATTAGTTCATCTCACATCCTAATAGCCGTGAGCAACAATAAGCAAGGTTAATTTCTGGGCCTCAGGAGCAGAATTGCTATGAAAGATGGGGCTGCAGTGAAGGCACCCTCTAGTCTGCGACGTCTGTTTGTGGTAATAATGTTCTAAAAAATGTCACTTTAAAGTCAATGTCACTGCACATCAATGAAAAATCACACACTACTTCAGTATGCAAGCACTGCTTCCAGTAGAAGAATGTGGTTAAAAGATCACAATTGCTGACATCTTGTCGTCTAAAACACCAGGCAAGAGCAAGCGGTGCAAGAGAACCACATCACACTGGTTTTGTTTACACAAATGGACTGGTGGTGAATTTGAATGCTTCTGCTCATCTATATCGAGGGGATCGATCCATTTGATGCAATGGGGGCACTCAATTAGATTCAATTATGCTGTATCGGTGTAAGCAAGAACACTGCAAAGGGAATGCATGATCCCAAAAGTTGAGTAGGTCAGTTGGAAGGACCCTCGCTGCAAAGCAGCAATGTTTTATTTGCTGCGTCTTGCGATGGTTGCCAGAGTCGACCTGTAAGTTTGAGAAGAGAAGAAATTGAAGGCACTGTCGCTGCTGTGATGTAAACATTTGACCGTTTTTAACACCGCAAACATGGCAGACTGACATGGACATAAAGGCATATTGTAACGAAAGAATTGGTAACAGGAGTAATCAGAGAAAACAGTCACAAATAAAACTAACAAGAGCAGTATTCATACGGCTGGACTCTATATCGGACAATCAAGTTTGCCTTTTACTTCATGCTCTTGATTTGAGGAAATCGTTATTCTTAAATAAGGTTGGAGTGGGGTTATACTTTAATTGGCTCTTGCTGTACAAATACTGAATTCTTCTTACTTATGTCATGTTTTTTTCATGAACACTTTTATAGCAGCTTTTACATTTGGCTACATTTTTAGCAAGAAGCAATGTACAGTTGCGAAAGGATTAGAGTTCGACAGCTGCACAAAAACGATTTATCAATGAACAAAACAATAAATGAATACAACTTTCATATTTCCCAGAAAAAGCGGAAAATTGCTTGCCCACATTTAAGTGTTTCAAAATCCCCAAGCTCACAGCGAAACTATTCAGTCTATGTAACACCTTCCATAAAAACATTTCTTTAAGTCACAAAAAAAAAAGAGAAGAGGGGGACATTGCAGAAAAAAATCTCTGGAATCAAAAATTTACTCAACATTTCCAAGCCAGTGTCCCAAAAACGGCCAAGCAGTGTTTTCTTGCATTTACCACCTATGACACTAAACTTACATCTTGCATCTTTTATGTTTTCCTTTCTGTTCCTCACAGGAATAAACTTCAGTTGCCAGTCAGCGTTGTGTTCGTTCACTTCTCGTTCTTGTCCCTTGTTTTTTTTGCAGTTTCCCAATTTTCATCATGAACCAACTAGCCCAACTTCACGCCTTGTTATATCCAGGGCTGTAATAGCTACAAAAATAGCACACACCTTCATGCAGTGCTCAGGAAGAATGTGGGGAACCTTGAGGTTAGCTTTTGCAAATAAGAACATTGCAACAGATTTGAGTTAACATATAACATAACAACAGTTTTAGAGGTTTTTTGTCACATTTAACAAAGGCACGGCAAGTGAAGAGCAAAAGCACTTCACTCGCCGTGCTTTTGCCAAGTGCCAATTCTTATATTACGAACATGAAGAGCTTCGCAAGAAACACCGTAGTCTTGCTTACTTTTCACCCAAAAAAGGCTCGAAGTACACCTAAGCACTTCTTATGAGTTGTGAATGCAAAAGCATGTACGTCATTCTTCCACTCCATTATATCGTCAGCAGCGTATTTGAGTCGATGGCGTCGCCGGACATGCAGTGCCATGAGGTGGCTAGTCATTGAAACTGACGTGCAGCGTCAGTTTCAACGACCGGCCACCCCATGGCGCTGCGTGTCCGGCGAATGCAGAGCCGTATATTAGGAAAGTTTGGACAATGGGCTGAGAAAAGGCCGCCGCCTGCGCCGAAAACTCCCCCCGCGGTTAGAGAGTAAACTAAAGGTACAACACAGTGTCGAGCAATCAGGAGACCGCAACGTCACAATATTGCAAACAACATTTAAAGTGTGAAATAGAAGCGTTCAGTTCGATCTCGGCTTCTCTACTCCATCTCACAAATGTCTGCAGTAAAGAGAAAGGCACAGGTGCGCGAGCCTAGCTCAGCGAAATGCTTTTGTTTGTACGAGAACTCGTGCATAGGAGGTACTTTCCAAAGCCACGCGCTCGTGCCCATGCTTTTGTCTGCACTGCTGATGTTTGTGCAGATGGAGTATCGGTGACAGTTTTCTTTGGGCCGGCTTGCTAGAACAGCGTCAAATTCCAAGCTGAGACTACCTGAGAGAAAACAGTGCAAAGGGTGGGGTGCGCGAGCCTCTTGAGACGCGGACTCTCGCTCGGCTTGCGCGCTGGCTTTGGCAGTGCTTTCTGTCCCCGTCTCAGCTGACATGCTGTTTCTACCAAGTTGGCCCTGGTTTGGAGCGCACATTCATTTATTCTAGACTTAAATATTGGCATGACGAAAACCTGACATGCACAAAGTTTTCAGTCACTGAGAGCTAAACCTTTTCACTCTAGCAACGCTAAAATGGCTTAAATTAGTCGCGTCACATATTTAGAGCACACAAACACTGCTAGGGACTGTTTCGCGGCCTGTGGTTAGCCCTGATATGCTCGCCTATTCAAACCAATGTATGGCCAAACTCTCTCAATAAACGGCTCTGGGCGAATGGGAGCCTCGTCGATGCGCGCCAGCCAATGGGAGTGAAGCCAAAAAGCCATCAGCTTTACTTCGCTCCTTTGGGATTGGGGGTACCTAGGCTCTTCGCGTGGTTTCATAGCTGGGAGCTGGCTTCACTTGGAGAAAGGATTTAAGGTGCCGTGTTCGTGCTTCAAACTGATGACGTCGGCTCGCTCCACGAGACAGTTAATGCTTTCACATTAAAAACAAATAAGTATCAGATTAATACTGCAAACATCTATCCAAGAATTTCTGCTCACAATTTTATAGCCTCAAAGTCCATCAGAAGCTAAAAGATATATGGAGGAGCTTGGATTTAGTACAAACGGGGTCTCCAGGTACTACTAAACGAGTGTCCCTCAAGGTGGTACCTCATCCAATGCAAATATAGATTTGCTCACATGATCACTTTTTGATGGGTCTACCACTGGTACCGCCACTGTCTCTTATGAATTATACAGAGACTCGTCAAGTTGGTTACATGCTCGAATGCTCTCCCAGAAGTGATGCACTTTAACATATATTCTTTCCTCCAAGTGTGTGCTTTCATGTCTCATGATCAGGGTAAAGACAAAAACGGCATCAATGTTTGTCCTCTCACTGCTAAGGAGATGTCCATTAGCTCTCCTCTTCTTTGCCGGTGGTGCCCGAGGTGGGTCCTGCTGGAAAAATGTGGCAGATCAAATTGAATTGGGAGACATTGATGTGGCAACATCAACTCCCATGCTTTCTGGCTCTTTCCCTTACCCAGAATTGTTGTCTGAGGAAGGTGCGGGTCACAGTTACATTTCCTGCAGTGCTCAGGCAAATGTGCCCCATCATTCGTCTTTAAATTTTGTGCGTGCTCCCTTCGTTGGTTATTAACACACCTTCCCGTTTGGCCTACGTAGGACTTTCCACATGTAAGGGGGATTTCGTATACTACACCCGTGACGCATTCAACATATGGCTTGACGTGCTTTGTGGTGCATCTTCGCCTTATACTGCCGCCACCAGTAACACAAAAGCAGAGTTGGCCGAGTCTGCTCGGAGCTGAAAAAACGAGCGGTACTCCAAAGCGGTTTGCCACCTTCTTGAGGTTGTGCGACATTTGGTGCACGTACGGCACCATCTCGAACCTCAGACAAGCTTTAAGAACAGAGTGACTAGACAACGGGCTACCCTGAAACAGTCGTAATGAATGTGGTAGAAGGCACCCCTAAAAAATTAAAAGGACATACCAATACGGAAAAGACGCAAATGGCACTGAGAAAAATTAGGCCTGAGGTGGTACCGTATGTGCACAAAATGTCGCACAACATCAAGAAGGTGGCGAACCGCTTCGGAGTACCGTTTGTTTTTTCAGTTCCAAGCAAACTCAGCATCGCAAGCAACCACCCCCCCCCCCCCCCCCCCTGTAGTCAGCGCCTATACACCAACTCATGTTTACAAATAAACCGAAGCGCCCCTAGCGGACACCACCAGCGCTGCGCATGCGCGATGGGGGTGTGGGCAAGAAGCTCGCCGTCGCCCATAAACAAACCATTGAAATGCGATGTTGTCGCCGTCGGTGTGAGTCCCCCTGCCCTTTTCGCGTTCGAATTGTTGATTCTACGTCTTCCGGGCGATGTCTGACTACTTCAGCAGCCTCAGCGAAATTACCGAGGCTCGTTACACCGCAAAACTTTGCGTGAATAATGTGACATGCGGCGATTCATTCCACGTGGACGCCGCAGAATGTACGCTAAAGCCTGATTCGCATGACGAGATTTCGCTCGCAGTTTTCAGTCGGGACGTCGATCGGCCTGCAAAAGCGTAAACCGTAGCTGAGATGGTCGACGTCGATGCTGAAAATCTCAAGCAAAATCGGATTAAGTGAATCAGGCATAACAAGTCGGTGATGGCCACTGGTAACAATTATCAATACATCTTTGTATCTACTGCTTACATCGAGCCTGCTTACCAACCTTCAAACTCGAGTCTTTTGAGGCCTGCACTTACTTCTTATCGCAAGTACCGGGCCCATGTTT